TACATGTCCAGATCAGAATTAATTAAAGATGCTTGCTGAAATTTCACGACTTCCATAGTAACAATCAAACTATGAAAGGTGAAAATATCTTAATAAAACATTGATGAACATAGCAAGCGCATTACAAATAAGATTTTGATGTGCTTACCTGATGGGAATCAAATTATTGAACAGAATCAAGAATGTCAAAATGTTGAATCCAAATTGCCCAAGGATACTATTCGAAGAGAGGAGTTCCAGATACGACAATTTGTCTCCATCTTTCAACTATTTTTTTTTTTGTATCATATTTAAAACATTGGTGTCATCCTTCGTTTAATGTGAATGTAATTCGTACTCACCGTCGTAATAGCGCTACCGAGCGAACATGCGACACTCATCGTCAACAGAATACCAAACAAGAAAATAATTTGCACATTGACCATCTTTTCTACGCTGGTTCTTTTAATAGGGGTCGCGCTGCATCGATGAATTTATTTTAGCCACGATATCCATTGCATACGAACCTCGCACCAAGGAAAATTTGAATCACCAACCTGGCATTCCTCATTAGTTTTGTTTCATGGCCAGTAAATACAGCGATACCATAGATCCATTGAGTGTTCCTCAGTTGCGCACCCTATCATAAAATTCAATTCAAGTTTAAAAGAAAAGATGTAATAGGTCCGACGCGGATAAAGTATACACACCCTAAGTAATACTTGTGTGGGGTCTAATCGAACTTTCTTGGCGCCATTAGGTGTGTCCATTATAAGTACACCATCAAAAGTGTATAAACTGTTGTTTGGACTTTCCGAATGTATCTGACCTAACCACAGACAGTAGAAAGTCATCACATTCGTTATGATAGGCCACAACGAATGGAAAAGGAAATGTGAATGCATAATGAAAGGAATTCTACCTCTTAATTTTGCAATTTCGGAAGGTGATGTCAAATGGGATGTTTCGGATGAAGCTTGTTTGATCTTTAGATTCGTTTCACTGAACATATGTGTTGATGATAATAGATAATTATGCAAAGAACATCATTAATTATCTTGATAATCTTTAAGTGTAGTTGAAATTATGCCTTAAGATCCGTGTGCAAAAACAATTATTTTAATTCGGCGTCGATATTGCACCCTGAATTCAGAGTATGTCAAACTAACCCGTCCAAATTACTCGTCTCTATGTAACACAACCCTTCAGGCTCGGAACTACTGAGCAAGATTAGATCAGAGGGAAAGAATTCTCCGCT